GACCGGGGTCGGGTGCCCTGGCCCTGGCTGCGCATCGCCTCCCCGGCCAGGTCAGCAGCCCCGCTCGGCAGGAGCGGGCTGTCGGTGAAATGATGGACAGACTACTGCATCCCACCCGCAGAGTCCCCGTCCTGCTGCTCCTCCCTCTGCTGCAAAGTCTGTAAACCTCAAAAAGCACTTCTTTCTGGTCATCTTTGGTTCAGGGATTTGGGGTTCGGCACATCCCGTTCCGATGCTGGATGGGTTTGTTTCTGTCTCTCCCACGTGCTCTTGATCTCGCTGTGGAAGCTTAGGTCTAGGAATACTTTTGTTCCACGGGCAAAGCTGACGTTCCAGGATTAGTTTGTGCTCTGGATTGAAATGAGAAGCTTTTAGAAAAACAGTAATCTGGAGTTTCCTGAGTGGTTGAGACTAGCACGGAGTTCACACGTTTCCTTTCCTGTAGAGGCGTCAATCGGTGCTGGTGCTTTTTTGATTTTACCTACAGGGGAGAGGAAGAATCACAATGAATTTCTCCTGGAAGGGAAAAACAAAATCTCAGTCTTCTTAGTTGATTCTCCTTCCTAAGCAGTAGCTCCCCTTGGGTGGTTCCTCCCCATAACCCTTTTCCTTCCCCACCTCCTCGCCTGTGGACTCCAGTTGACAGAGCGTGTCCTCGCTTCTCGTCGCTTGCAAATAAAAGCAGAAAAGGGGGAATTCTAGACCTGCAGATGCTGTTTTGATTCTTCCTCAAAACATATGGTGAATCACGTCTGAATCCTATGATGATTAAAAGAAGAAAGATTAATAAAAGCTAGGAGCGGGGTTGTGGTAACAGCTTCCATGTGTTGCCTGAGTCCCTCCCATCCAGCCCTGGAGAGTGCGGGGAGCTCCAGGCCATGGCTAGAACATTCTGTTTCTTGGACACATCTGGGAGCAGAGGGAGGGACATCCATCATGCCTGAGTGGCAGGATCCCTCCCACGGCTTTCAGGAGTATTCGGACAGTGAAATGGATTCAGTTAGGGCTAAACCTTGCTCCTGTTGAAGATAGTGGAGTGGATGGAGGAATCCTATCCAGTTCCTTCTGGTTGATTCCTGTAGGAATAGCGTGTGGCCCCAAAGGGGTGCTTGAGAGGTGCAACAGCAGGAGACGTGCTTGGGCCTTACAAGTGGACTCTAGGGAGCTCGAACATGCTGCCCTTTATTGCTCTTTCCAGCCTTAATGCATCCTCCATCAGACTCCCGGTGTGCCTGCCCGGACACGGGCAGATGGTAACCGCAGGGGAGGTGGATGGAAGAGTCTTGGAGAGGCCACCAACTTCTGGGCATCTCTCAGTGTGAGCAGAGCAGCCGTGGTCTCTGCAGGGGTGACTGTCAGAGTGCAAATGGTGCCTGAACAAACGTGCTCAGGTCTTTGCAGGACTGGGCCGGCCGAACTTGCCCACAGCCACCTTCGTCTTGCCCCGGGGTTGTTCCTCCTGCCTCAGGCCGTGTTTCCCTTTGCAGGTGGTGAGCAAGGAGCTGGTTTGCAAGTCATGCCTGACGAGGACCTTGAACAAGCTGGAGACCATGATGACCATTCTACAAGGGGAAACGACCCAGGGCACGGTGACACCGACTGGCATCGCCGACAACATCCTCAACATCACAGGTCAGCTGTGTTCACGCAGGACCCGGTGACAGGTGACCAGGCACCATGGAGGTCTGTCTCCCTGCGCAGGGTGCAGGGCAGGAGCAGGCTGAGGGCAGCCTTGCTGGCTTTCTTCTGTACCATCAGAGGTTTGGCTCATGCCTTTTCAAGCTCGTGGGGAAACTGCATCTAACATTTGGAGTGTGGCACCCCGGTACTTTCTTCTCCCTGCACTTTTCCCAGGCTTGTCCTGGCTTTGGCAGCTCTCTCTGCGGACATGTAAACATGACAGTTGTTAATAAACTCACCAATACTCCAGGGAACTGTCTTTTTAGTAAACAATGAGTAACAGCTATGGCTTCCAGATGCTCGCCCTCCTGCTTGCAGTCTGAGGAGGGGGCCAGACTTCACCGGGGCACCCGTGAGCACTGTGTGGAAATTCCCACCTGGTTCCCGTGGGAGGAAGCAGAGACACCCTCTTTGCTCTCCTTGTTACACGTTTCTGAGTGTTCTCCACTTCGTAGTGCACAAACTTAGTGACATATGTCTGCTTTATCCATTCCTTCCCGGAATCCGCCGTTCTGGTCACCATGCAGGAGGGAGATAAAGCCTGTTGTGATTAAGTATTCACCACCAAACTTGGTAGCTTGGCCGAGAGACTGCAGGGATTGCTGACAGCTTGGTTTTTAGCTGTGGGCTACTGAACACTTCCGTGTGGAATTTCGTGTGCACAGTGCAGAGTTAGAGTGGGAAAACCGTCAGGAAAGACTCGTGTGGTTGTTTTGTTTTGGGAGATGTCAGATGTTGTCTAGACTGCACCGGTTACCTGGGCTATTTACCTCTTTCTCAGTTTGCACCTTTGTTTCTCTCCTGGCAGGTGACCTAATTCACCTCGTCAATACAGTTTCACAAGAGTCCCAGCCCCAGGAGCTGCTTGCTGATTCCCACAATTTGCTGCTGGCTCCCAAAGCCTACAACCTGTCTTCCAGCCTGATGCGCATCCTCATGAAGTCTCGAGTGCTGAATGAAGAGCCCCTTGAGCTGGTGGGAGGAGAAATTAAGGCCACAGGGAAGCGGTCTGATCCCTTTAATTTGCTTTGCTACGAAAACACACCAAACTGCCAGTTCTCCATCCCCCAGGCATTCAACACCACCCTTTCCAACCTGACAGATGTCATTCAAGTCATGTTCCAAGTGGACTCCAATCCTTTCCCTTTTGGTTACATCAGCAACTACACCGTGTCCACAAAAGTTGCCTCCATGGAGTTCCAGACACACAACGGGGTGCAGATCCCCATTGGGAGCCTGGACTCCGAGAAGGCCATCACCGTAATGGTGTCAAACAACACCGATGCCAACAATCTCTCTGCTGGCACTGAAGTCATCGAGGCAAGAACATCTGTGAACCTGATTGTGACTATGGAGAGCAACAACCGAGAAGCAGGACTGCACTTCCAGCTCACTTACAGAGTCCTCAACGGTAGCGCAGACAGAGCCAACTCTTTCTGCTCCTTGCTATTGCTTCCCAGGGGAGAGGAGGGCTGGGTGATGGCAGCAAAGGAGAGCTGTGTCGAGAGATCACTGGTGTGGGAGGGGATGTCAGGTGTAGCCAGCAAGTTCCATACTGCGTGGTTGAGGTTCTGGCTGTCACGGGCATTATCCAGTCCCAGTGTCATCCTTGTTTGTGGGTTCCGGCACTGAGAAGCCTTTTGCTCTTTCCGGCCCTTCTGTTGAGCCACACTGGCACTGGAAGGAGTTTGTCCTGTCTCTCTCTCGGTCAGGTACCATGGTATCCAGAGTCTGTAGCTCAAGGATCCTCTGAACTGCAGACCGAGAGAATGCAATTGGAAAAGCATCTCTCCTGACTGTCCGTGTTCCTGATACTCCTCCCTGAGCATCCGCTGCTGGCAGCAGGCTTGTGGTCGACTTCTCCCTGGTGTTTATAAAGTACCTTTTGTTTTTTCTCCCCCTCTCCTCCCAGATCAGTACATTGCAAGTGAGCCTGAGCCGTTCATCATGGCTTATCTCCATCACGAGCCAGAGCCCAACGAGCACAACTGCAGTGCCTTTAAGAAAATTGGCCTGGATGCCCTGGCTGGAAGGGACCACAAGCTCTACACCTTCTTCACCTCACCCAGGTAAGAGAATTCTGCCTCCCTTGCAATCCCTGTCACCCACAGGCTGTCCCGTGGGTGTACGTGAGGGATGCTCAGGGCCTTGCCATGGCTTTTGCCAGGCTGCTTTGTGGGGCTGGTGCTGTGCCAGCTGTCCGCAGTGCTCCTCTGTCCTTGGAGGAGGCAGCTCTCCTGGGCAGGCAGCTGAACCTGCCATTCCTGCACCCCAACACTGGCACCTCTTCTACCCTGGCACTCCCTCCTGCCCAGGCATCTGCTGCTGCAGGTGCAAAAGCAGCTCAGTGCTCTGTGATTTGCCTTTCTGGTCCGGGTGAGGGAGGGTTCCCCTTTTTAGACGTGTAAATCACATTCCCTGTGACTATCATGACCCTCACCCAGGGCGTCTCCTGGTGATGAGTCTTCCCCCGCCACCCTTTTCTCTGCTCACTTGCCTGATACCTGCTGTAGTGTTTGTCTGGTGCTTGTCCAGACTTTCATCCTCCGTGCACCACCGATCCCAGAGCTGCCCGTCTTTCC